GACTTCATATCCTGCTATTTGCTGAACTCATTTAGTTCTAATAGTTTTTGTATCTGTGTGTGCAGTGTCTTTAGGGTTTTCCACATGTAAGATCATACCACCTGTGAATGGTGATAATTCTACTTCTGTCTTTTCAAATTTGGATGCCTTTTATTTCTTTTTATTTAACTGCTACGTCTAGAACTTCCAGCACTATGCTGAACAGAAGTAGCAAAAGCAGGCGCTTTTGCCTTGTTCCTGACCCGAGACTAAAAGCTTTCAGGTGTCTGCCCTTGAGGTAGAGGTTAACCATGGGAGTTCCATCTATGGCTTTTACTATGTAGAGGTAGTGTTCTTCTAGTCCCAGCTTGTTGAGTAATTTTATCAGGAATGTGTGCTGAATTCAGCATCAGTTAAGATGATCACATGACTTTTTTCCTTCATTCTAGTAATGTGGTTGTATTACATTGATCAGTTTTTGCACGTTGAGCCATCCTTGCGTTCCAGACATAAATCTCACTTGGTCACGATGTATAACCCTTTCAGTATGTTGCTGAATTCAGTTTGCTAGTATCTTGTTGACGATTTCTGCATCAGTATTCATACGGGAAATACAAGTTTTCCTGTAGTATCTTTGGCTTTGGTTTCAGGGCAATGCTGGCCTCAGAAAATGAGTTAGGAAGTGTTTAAAATGTTCAGAAAGACTTGATGTTACAGCTTTAGGTATCTGGTAGAACTCGCTAGTGAAGCCACCTGGTCTAGGACTTTCCTTTGTTGGGAGGGTTTTGATTACTGAATTAACCTACTTACTGTTTGTGAGTCTACTCAGATTTTTCTGTTTCTTCATGATTCAGCCTCGGTCGGATGTGCGTTTCTGGGAATTTGTCCGTTTCATCCAGGTTATCCTGTTGTTGGCATACAATTGTCCACGGTATTCTCTTATAATCCTTTTTTAATTTCTGTATAATCAGTAGTAATGTCTCCACTTTCTTCTAATTTTAATAATTTGAATCTTCACTTTTTCTAAGTCAATCTAGCTAAAGATGTGACAGTGTTTTTTTCAAAAATCAACTTGGTTTTGTTGATTTTTCTCTACTGTTTTTCTATTCTGTTTTATTGCTCTTTGTTTTAATCTTGTTTCCTTTTTCTACTAGCTTTGGCTTTAGTTTGCTCTGCATTTTCTAGTTTCTTAAGTTGTACGGTTAGATTATTAATTTGAGATGTTTTTTCTTTTTGAACACAGACATTTAGAGGCATGAATGTCCCTGTTAGCACTGCTTTCTCTACATCTGTTTGGTAAGTTGCGGTTTTTATTTTCATTCATCTGAAGGCATTTTCTAAATCCCTGTGATTCCTTTGATCCATTGGTCATTTAAGAATGTGTTGTTTAATTGCCACATATTTGTAAATTTTCCAGGTTTTCTTCTGTAATTGACTTCTAATTTTGTTCCACTATGATTAGAAAATATACTTCGTATGACTTGAATCTTTGAAATTTATTAAGACTTGCTTTGAGGTCTAATAAATCCTGGAGAACATTCCACGTACACTTGAGAAGAACATATATCCTGCTATTGCTGGGTGAGTTTTGTGTATGTCTATTAGAGCTAATTGTTTGTAGTGTTTTTCAAGAGCTCTACTTCCTTACGAATCTTCTGTCAGGTTCTATTTATTATTGAAATCAGAGTATTAAAGTCATCAACTATTATACTGTAGAACTGTCTATTTCTCCCTTCAGTTTTGTCAAGAATTTGTCAGTTTTTGTTTGATACATTTGGGGGCTCTGTAAACTGCGTACAGAATTTTTTATATCTTCGTGGACTAAACTTTTCATCAATATTTAATGTTCTTGTTACATTTTTAACTTAGAGCTATTTTGCCTGACAATCTAGCCACTCAGCTCTCCTTTGGTTATTACTTCCATGGAGCACCTTCTTCCATCCTTTTACTTTTAGCCTCTATGTGACTGGTGCTCAAAGCGAGTCTCCTGAAGACAGCACAGAAAAGGAACCCCCCACCTTTTTTAAAAATACATTCTGCTAATCTCTGCCTACTAATTGGAGAGTTTGATCCATTAGCACTGAAAGTAATCGCGGGCAGGAGGGACTTCTTCCGTTTAGTCTTTGCTTTTTTCATGTCTTAGATATTCTCTGTTCCTCAATTTCTCCACTACTGCCTTGTTTTTGTATTTAGTTGTTTTTTTGTAGTACACAATTCTGATTCCCCTTTGTCCTTTTCTGTATATTTTTAGTTACTCATTTAGCAGTTATCTTGGAGATACACTTATAACAACCTAATGTGAACAACAGCAACTTGGTTCAAATTGTACACAAGCACTCCGCTCCTGTGTCTTTGTCCACCCCCTTTATACTGTTACTGTCACACATTACATCTTCACATACTGTACACCCATTAACACAGATCCATAATTACTGTTTTATGCACTTGCTTTTTAATTCATACAGAACATAAACACAATCATACTGGCTTTAATATTCACCTTTGTAGTTACCATTACCAGTACTCCTACTTCTTACAGCCTCAGGGCGTGAGGCTGCAGAATTCTGCAGGATGAGCGGCAGAAAGACCCCCAGCCCTAGGTACTAAGTCTATTTTCACCCTGATTCTCTGAGTTCTTTTCCCATAATCCCAACAGGAGCCATACATGTCGCCTGTACAAGAGAAGGGACTGACTGGGCAGAAGGTGCCTGCAGAGGGCTCTGCCCCTCCACCCTGGCCCTTCTCAGGCCAGACCTGCCACTGCACCTCTGGGAACCACCTGGAACCCTCCTCCTTGTCATCCTTCCCCACTCCCTGCAGCAGTGGCGTCTGCCCTCCCTCAAACCAGGGGCCAGAGCTAAGCGGGGAGAGTCCTTGGTCAAAGGTTGGAAGCGCGGGGATTAGAAGACAGACCACCCAGCTTCAAATCTTTTTCATCACTTATACCTCTAAGCCCTGAGCAAGTTTTTGGAATCTGCGTCTGCCTCGCATGTCTCCCGGGGACAATAAACATGGTGCCCACCTAGCAGAGTTGTGGGGAAGTCGAAGATGAACATGCAGTGTCTGGCGCAGAGCCCATTAGATACCAGCTCCACTGTTACTGTTGATCTGAACAGGAACTTTCTCAGGGCTTCACCTTAAAACATTTTGACAAGTGGGATCCATTCTTGCTTGGCCATGATGAGGAAATGCAGGTTGTGTGCCCCTCCACCAGGTAAGCCAACAGAGGTCAGCAGGTTACCTCTGTCCACCGCAGCGTAACACCTGAAGTATGGCTCCAGGCCCAGCACTCACGCTTGCCAGGGCCTCTCACCGCCTGCCTTCCTCAGCAGGGCAGGGCAGGACCGGAAAAGGAGTTGAACAGCCATGGACACATGGCCACCAAATAAAGGACTGAGCTTCTGCTACCAAATCCAGTCTCTATGAGAAACAAGACATAAAATTCAATAAAGGCAGACACAGAGCTGGCTCAGGTGTTGGAAATAGAGGCCTTAAAACTATGTAAATGTGTTAAATGGTCTAAAGAAAAGGTGGATTCTATGTGAGAACAGATGGGGAATTTGGGGAGAGAGATGAAAATATGAACAAGAACCTACGGAAATGGGAAAAGTCCAACTCCATAAACTAAGGATCTATTCACAGGTTTATCAGTAGATTGGACACAGCAGAGAAAGAATCAGTGACCAGAAGACGAGACAGCATCCAAACTGAATTATAGGGAGAAAAGTAACTCAGAGTCTGCGATACTAGGACAATAAAAAGTCTAAATGCACTCGTAATTGGAATTCCAGAAGAGGAGGAAAGAGAATGGGCAGAAGAAACGTTAGAGGAAATTATGGCTGAGAATTTTCCAAAACTGGTGTAAGATACCAACCCACATATCTGAAGTTCAGTAGAGCCCAAACAGGATAAACATAAACAAAAGCATACACAGGCACATCAGAGCCAAACAGCTGAAAATTCAATAAAAAATCTTACAGGTGGTCAAAGAGGGCAAAAGGGTACATTATCCACAGGGAAAACAGTAAGGGTGACGGCTGACGTCCCATCAGTAAAGACAAAAGCGAGATGACGGGAGGAGCTCCTTGAAGTGCTGAGGGGAAGGATGTCAAAGCAGACTTCTCTGCCCAAAACACCCTTCAGAAACGAAACTGAAATAAAGACATTTTCAGGTAGATAAAAGTCGAGGAAATTAGTCTCTAGCAGACCTGAAATGCTGAAAAAAAAAAGTGCTCAAGACAGATCAAACTGAGTTGGTTTTGTCGCCTACAACACAAATGGAAAATGTTCTAACTTTCTAGAAATCAAAATATGTAAACATGGGTCCAAGCCTCGCGTGGGGACGTGTGGCCTTCCCCAGGGGGAGACTGGACAGGCGGCCCCGAGAGCCAGGCTGACAGCAGCGGGAGAGCAGCCAGAGGCCACGGAGTTCCTGGAGGGACACGAGGTGGCTGAGGAGCAGATGAGGCAAAGCCCGAGTTCCTGACGAGCCGTGTCCCACCCAACATTCGTCCCAGTGGGACAAAAGCCGGTCCTGGGTTCTCACGGTGGCTGAAGGCTTCACTTGAACTGCTCGGAAACCCACAGAACGGTCTCTGATCCCTCTGAGATGCTACAATTTCCATCAGTAGAGAAATTTTCTGCCTGTAAGGGTATACATCTCTCAAACTTGTATCCACTTTTTGTGGCAGTTTTAATGAGGTGGAAGACAGCAGACAAATTATGCCCCTTCCTCCGAAAGAGGCTAAAACATCCTGATCACAGAGCCCTAATGCACGGATGCATTAGCATCCTCTCTTGCTGCTTTGACGCGGCAGAGAAAGAAGACACTTGAAGTCAAGAGGCTCAGGTGTGAAACTGGCTCCACACATCACCCTCCCCGTGGACATGGTTTCCTCGTCTGCTATCTGAGTGTGACTGAGATGGCTCCGTTACATCAGCATATGAATCTGTAACTCTGGCTTATGCAGAATTCAACATTTTTTCCCTTCCATGTCGATGGCCAATTTTGTAGTCGACTGTTTATCTGCACCTGGCATGCCCACTCAGCTGTACGCACTCCAGGGCAGGGACCACGTATGTGCACATCTCGAGCTGGCATCTGTGATACGGTGCCTGTGGTCACTAACACCACACAGAGGAAATATGGGAGGAAACCGTGTTTCCGGAAGGCAATCTGGAGTAACAGTCACAGCATGTCTGCTATGAGTGGGTACGCTGAGGGCTCCTACTTACAAGGCCCACCCGGACCACACAGCATTGGCAACATCCTGCAGTGATTTCACCCAGGGCTTACAACACCCCGCAAACAGTACCAGCTCCCATCCCGCATCCCCCTGAGGTGGACGCTTCCTCCGGGAAAAGCCACAATGAAGAAGTGAAACCAAGCTTACTGTTCCTCAAACTGTGACAATCATGTCTCTTCTTTGCATTTAGGGGGAAGTGGAAGGAAAGAAATCTGGGTGACCTGGTTCAACCCACAGGAGTACAAAGTGGGTGGTGCAAAGGGCAGAAACGGAGCTGCCAGTGGAGCGGGGCGCTACCCTACACCTCTCTTCCCAGCCGCGGTTCCTGGCAACCCACCACCCTGCGGCGAGGAGCTGAACCCCAGGGCGGTCTGTCAGTGCTGAGGGCACACACTGTCCATTAATTAACGGCCTTTATAAAATTACCAGTCTACCTATGCGCAAATTCTGAGACCATTATCACAGATGCCTACCCAAGATATGCATGTGCACACACACATGCACGACTAGACTCACCCCTCTACCTGCATTCCACCTCCCTCAGTCCCCTCTTCTCAGCCACATTAGCTGGGAACATTCGAGACCCCCTCAGTTCCTCTTTCGACACACATCATCTCACCCAGTCAGCACCTACCCTTTAGTAAATGTTTCATTTATTGAAAAAAGTTGATTCTGAAGTATAATTTACCCATAATAAAACGCACCCATTCAAGCATTCATCTTGACTTGCGGCTCATTGATGAACTAACGAATCATGCAACCATCTAGGCACACCACAAACAAGATCTGGAACTTTCTGTTCCTCCAGGAAGTCCTGTGTACCTTCCCCACGACCAGCCCTCAGCCCCAGGAAACCCCTGAGCTGCTTTCTGTCACTGTCAACCACGTTGCTCTTTTCTAGAATTTTATACACAATAGTGTGTGTTTTTCGCCCAGCTTTTGTGCAGCCAAATGGTCTTGAGATTTATCCATGCCATTGGATGTCAGCAGTTCATTCATTTTCACTGTTGAACGGTATTTTATGAATACACTGCAATTTATCTATTCATCTTTCAGTGGATATTTGTATGTTGATTTTGTATTCTTCGACTTCCTAAGTTCACTTAGAAGTTCTAGTAGTTATTGTCTTTTCTTCGTTTTGTGTTTTGGTTGATTTCTTAGGATTTTCTGGGTACACAATCACGTTATTTGCAAATAAAGACAGGTCACATCTTCCCTTCCGCTGTCTGCTTTTCACTGCTTGCTCCACTGCACTGCCCCCACCTCGGCTACCAGGCTGACCAGCACGGTTCTGGTGTCTTTCGCAGCTGGGACTTCTGGGTCACCTTGGCCCCGTTAAGGCCTATTTCAGACTCTGTTATTAGTGTGAGTCCAAAGCAGACTTGCCTCCAAGGCTGGTCCAACCCTATCACGAGAGCATGACTCCTTACAGGGCTTCCACTCAGGTCCGGGGGCTTTACTGAGGGTCCCCCTGTGGTCAGAGTCAGGATTTCTCCTCACCTTCTGAGACCAAGTGTTCAGCTGGTAACTCCTTGTCATTGTTGCCTGACATTCTAGGATTTTACTCTGAGGATGTGTGGTGGAGTCTGCAGCCAACTCGAGGGGGTCTGCTGCAGGTTTCAGGGGCCTTTTCCTGCAAAGCCCCCTCCACCTGTGTCTCCCCAACATCCAATCTGCACCTCAATTCAGCTAGATGCCAGGCTGTTTGTTCCTCCCTCATGCTTGCTGTTTGAAAACCACTTTGATGCAGAAAGTTGGGGCGACTGCAGGGGTCACCTCACATCCTCCTTCCCCTGGGGGCCAAGCGCCGCACAGTCCGAGGGCAGTCGTTTCCCGCTTCCCCAGTTTGTTTACGGACGGACGCTGCGTCAGGTCCGCTACTCTAGCAGGCAGGAGCGCAGGCCACATGGGCACCTGATGATCTCGCGCAGCGAATTCCGAGCAGGCCCCCTGCGCTCCTGGCCTCGACACGGGCAGTTCTCCACCGGGAAGTAAAACAGACACCCCTTGAAGAGCTGGACATACAAACATACAAAATGCTCTAAGCAGTCACGGCACAAATGATTGAACCCGGAACCGTTCTACCACAAGCACAATCAGACTTCCACATTCCAAGAGACAATCCCAGTACAGGAGCCCAGCGTGGCCTCCGACATCCCAGATTCTGGGGACCCCGACGCTCCCCAGCCACCAGCCTGACACATTCCGACCAACAGCTGCCCAGACTCACTCACCTCTGCCACCTAGCCGCCCTGACAGATCCCAGTCCAAGCCCCACAGCACCTGACTCCCCCTGAGCTGGTGCTGAGGCCTGGTCCAGGCCCTGCCTTGCAGCGTTTAACAAGCTCAGCTCAGCGAGACAGGGGTTTCTGAGTGACCCTCGTGAGCTGTGACCACCGCAGACACTCCAAGGGGGCATAGCGGGGACCCAGGACGGCCACAGCTCGAGACACTGACCCAGAGGCCCCCTACTGAGACCCCTGGGTCTCCCCGTATCTACGAGGATGAGGCAGTTCAGGCCTAGCCTGAGCTCCAGTGCCTTCTGGCTGAAATCCCAGCTCGGCAGGGGTTTATTTTCTCAGCCCTAGGGAAGAGTCCCTCGGACCTTTCAGTTATCTGATCGAATCTGTACTAGTTTTAATTTTCCTTGGTGAACATATTATCTATCAGTGGAAAAATCACCCCCAAACTTAGTGGCTTGAAAAGTAAGTATCTCATAGTTTCTGAGGGTCAGGACTCAGAGTGGCCCAAAGTCTCTAAGGGCGTGCAGGCAGGCTGCTGGCCAGGGGTCAGGGGGGCAGGGAGGCTCCTGGAGAAGCTTCTCTTCCCGGCCTGTCCGCACAGATGCCAGCAGCCCGAGCTTCCTGCTGTTGGGCAGAGATTTCAGTTCCTCGCCATCTGGGCCTCCCCATGGCATTGCAGCTGCCCTCTCCCAGAGCCAGCGACCTGGGGAGAGTGCACGTGAGCGGCCAAAACTTAAGCTGCAGTCCTTGTACGACCTAATCCTAGAGATGACGTGCCATCCCTTCTGTCTGTGCTTCTGTCACCGGTGGGGCGGGACTGCCCACCACAGTGGGGTCCGCAGGGCTGAACGGGTCAACAGGCCTCCATCGCCTTCGCCTGGCTCGGCTGTTGTGTTCAGCTTTCCCACCCCACGCTTGGTGCAAAGCAGCATCAGGACAGCCAGGGTCCCTGGTTCACATCATCTGGGTTCTGTGTGTGTGTGTGTGTGTGTGTGTGCTTGTGCTGTGTGTGTTGCTCAGCGATACAGTAACAAAACTTCCTGTAAAAAAATGATTTTATCTAGTATTTCTGTTGAAGTGTTGAAAGCATAGTCCAGAGCCGTCTCCACGTTGCTTCTAATCTTTAAAATCCTATTCATCCCTCATGATTTAGCCCAAATACAGCCGCTTCAGTTAACTCTGCTCAATTACCTCCCCGCCGCCCACATCCTGGGAGTCACCACGTCCTCAGTTCCACAGCGACTGCACCCTGAGCTCTTCCCTCCCCAACAAAAGGCGACCCAGGAACCAGATTCTGCATCCGTTATTTTGGGTGTCTGACCCCACTCCGCTGGTTCCTCTGCCTGTCCCCACAAGGGCAGCGAAACACCTCGCCCACAGAGGGCGCTCCCTAGCTGTTTACTGGCCTCCATGCTCGTTTAAAATGTATGCCAAGAAATTCTGACCACAGAGCGGGGGGCTAGTGGGCGGCGTGGGCTCAGGGGAGCATTACCGTCCAGAAGCCTCAACTCGATGCTGTGAGGTCTGCTCCTCATGGAAACGGGCTTCCCAAAGGGACCCCAGGCAGGCCTCCCACCTCAAAGGCCTTGCAGATGCTAACAGGTATGCGAATTTAAACGGAATTCCCAACATCACCTGGTCATTTACTGAACCTGATTATAAGTATATCAATTGTGAACTGAATCATTTTAAATAGTCCGAATTTAGATTTCACATAATACTGTATTGAAAACTTTTTAATATTCCTCTTGAGATCAACATGAGCAGAAATTCAAGCATCTGTCTCTGATGTGGGATATCCTGCTCAGTCCAGGGCTGTGTCACCACGGCAACCAGGTGAGTGGGAGGAGGGGTCTGAGGGGTAGACGCAAGCCGGGAGGAGTCAGCGCCCACACGGCAGCCCAGTGTGCCCAGCGCACCTACCACCCCGCAGCCACTGTTGGGGGGGCGTCCAGGCCCCGACGGTGAAGATGCCCACTTTACTGCCTGCTTCTGACTGAGACAATTTCCCACAGAACCAACAGAGCAAGAGGACAAACACTAGGAACCTGGAACGTCGGTCGGGAAGCGTCCCGCGGGGACCAGGTCTCCCTGACGGAGAAGAGGGAAGCTGACGGAGGAGAGGTCGGCCTCGGCTCACCGCAGGGGCTTCGAGCTGAGACGTCAAGGAGGCAGCGTGGCTGCCCTCCGGTCAGCCGGGCTCTGTGGGGGACCCACCGCCGTCTCCCTGCCCACGCTCACCCCGGGCGCCCGGCCACCAGGCCGCCCAGCCGCCAGCGGGAGCGGGAGCAGGACAAGGAGACCGAGGGCGGCGGCTTAGCCTCAGCAGCCCTTCTGCATGATGTCCAGTCCCGACGACTTCGTTATCTCCAAGGTCGTGAACACCTGTTCCCAAGGAGAGAGCAAGACGGTTTATACTTAGCTGGCGACACTTCATGCGGCTTTAAGGAAACACGTTCCGGGGGGAGGGTGTAGCTCAGGGGTAGAGTGTGTGCCTAATGCACGAGGTCCTGGGTTCAATCCCTGGTACCTCCACTGAAAATAAATGAACATACCTAATTACCTTCAAGATAAAATAATTAAAAAAATAATTAAACTCAATTAAAAATTAATTTTTTTTGAAAAAGAACACAGGTCAGCATCACCTACAGAGCCAGGACTAACACAGAAGGCAGACAACGTATTCAGAACAGCGTCTCAAAACACACCAGCTGAAGTCAGTTTTAAGGACTCCTGTCTCCGTACCTCAGCGCACGTGGGGTGGATTCCAACGGTGTCATCCAGCAGCCGTTTTGTGAGCCCACATTTCATCGCGGCCGCGAATCCCTGGGTGATCTCACCAGCATTCGGTCCAAGGATGTGAAATCCTATCACCCGCTCCTTTCAAAGGGAAGCCCGGCAGGTTAATGGTCTGAACAGGATCCCAGTCATCGAAGTTTGCAGTCGAAATTTACAGCATCTCCCACAGAAAAGCTACTCTAACGTTGAGCTGAGCAGAGAACATTACCATGAACCCGAGTCACTGTAAGACTGTTCAATGAGCCAGTAAACGCACATCCTGAGTTAATTTGCACTCAAATTTACTAGAACAGGCAATTTACCCACTGCATGGAGTTCATTAGTGTGATGTAAACTTGGAACTATGCTGAGACACTGTGAAACAACAACACAACCATCCGAATGGAAGTCCAGCGCTGGGCTAACTGTAAGTCCCAGGGCAGCAGCTCTCCTGGGGCGGCATGGCCTCTGACTCCGCTCAACAGAGATCAGGGAGTGGCCGGTGGAGGTCCCCCAGGGGTTCACCTCAGGTGAACACAGGCATGATGAGAAAGTGAAACAGCCTTACTGCTGATGTGGGGAAAGTCTGAGTGGTCTGGGCGGCAGGTCCGGCCAGCCTCCGCACTCCCTTCAGCCAGAGTCTAACCCAGAGCCAGGCCCCACCCTCCCGCAGCTCTGACGGCTGAGAGGTGGGGAAGCTGCGGCAGGAGAGTCTGAAGGTAGCAGAGGTTGGTTCTGAGGTTTAAGGAAAGAAGCTTCTCCGGAACGTCAGCGCAGGTGAAGGCGCAGGTGCTGGTGGAGAAGATGCGAAAAGTTCCCCAGGAGACGCAGCAAAGACCACTAGAGATTTCCAGTGTGGACACAGCCTCCTGCTGCAAGGAGGTGCCGTCGAGGTCGTTCACGGCTAAGAGGAGAAGCCAGTGCCTGGCCTCAGAGCCTCCAAGCACAGGCTGCTCGGGGCTGAGGCAGCTGGCGGCTCCCAGGTGGACCCGCTGCTCTCCTGCCACTCCCAAAGCCCTAGGACTCTTAAGAACTGTGTTAAATCTACCCCCCGTGCTCCGTAAGTGGAAC